GTCTTTTAAAAAAAATTGTTTTTGGGGGCAACCTCCAATTTGTATCTGCTTATTTAAAAGTTAACACATACAGACATATGGGCAACAGGAATTTTTTAAATTAATTTTGTCTAAAGTTATTGATCAATTAATAAGACGTACAAATTTAAAGACAAGAAATTACTATTAATAATTATTCAACTTCGGCTATTAATACTTGTAACGACTTGTCCTTTCTTTTATTAAATAAAAAAAAAAAAATTTAAACCCACCGCGTTGTTCCAGTGCGAGTAGGTGGGTTGTGTGTGCTTTTGGTTTTCAGTCGAGTGCTTCAAACTCAACTAAACTAGACCGACGAGGTCGACATATATAGATAAAAATAAAAGCTCGTAAGAACAAAACCTACATCTTTTTACACTGTATCCAATACAAGGCAAGATTTCTCTCTCATCTCTCGTCGAAGCCGTCGTTTCTTTTATATTTTTTCATCAATGTCACACGTGACGCCCGAATGTCATTTTCATGGGACGAAAAAAAATGTTTATTAAGCAGCGGGCCGCGATATTACAATACGTTGCTTCTCGTGAAAAATGGAAAGTGATTTTTTACGACAAAATAACAAGGTGCGTAAGCCGTTAGAAGTACAAGTAGCGCTTAGAGAGGGTTGAGGATTTATTAAATTTAAGATATTACTAAGATCCAGTTTCAGTAAATATTATTGATCAAACACCCTCTGTAGTTTACGCGAGTAGTACACATTAAAATAAAACAATATATTTTGTGTTTTAAACCGTTAAAGTGTTGTATTTTAATTTTGATTTAAATCTCTGTCTGTTTAACTGAAGTTTTATGTAAAATGGACAATGAGTGTGTATATATATATATATATATTATATAGGTATAATTCTTTAATTTCAGAGCGTAATATTAAAATAGTCTAAATTAATAATTATGAAGGCACAAAAAAGGTTTAAAACAATATATCAATTACTCTTACAGGAATTATGTCAATCAATCAACAATAAACACGTGAAGCTTCGACATACCATTAATCAATAAGCCTTAAGCGAATTCCCACGACTGGGACTAGGTTTAATTCAAGAAATACTTTCTTAAACTTGTATGCACAATATGGGCATTTCTTATACATTTACGTATATTTATTTCAAATCATAATAAAATGTATCAATAATAGCGGTAATTAGAGATTATTGTATCAGGGTTGTCACCTCACGGTAAGTAATAGTAAATATTCGGTAAGTAGGTGGCAGACGCGGGGAAGCCGGGAGCACGATGCGGCAGATGCGCCGGTTGTGATTGTCTTGCTCGATGATTGATGATCTCCGACGGGTACGGCGTAGGGCTGCCACAAGCTCACTTATATTAGTATTATTATTTAATTCTCCGTAACAAGGGGATCAGTTCAGCAAAAGATACTTACTAATTTAATTTAACGACAAATCTACTTTTAAGCTATAATATTATTAACTAGCTATGTCAGCGACTTCAGCCGCGTAGAACAGTTATTTTGGGCATCCAAATTTGTTTTTATAAACCTCCTCTTCGTCTTTATAAATTTAAACAGCTATCCGACCTCGCGACCCGTCGTTATTGCAAGTTAATCTTCAAAGATGTACATTTAGAGTTTTAGTTCATTTAAAAAGGAATCATTATCTTCCATACTCTTTTCAGAGCGTATTTGGTAGGTATCTGAAAATCTACAGAGATGAAAAATTTCCCCTTGTTTTTTTACATTTTCCGCTGCTTCTTCGCTCCTATTAGTCACAGCGCGATGTTTTATAGCCTAGCTTTCCTCGAAAAATGTTCTAACTAACACAAAAATTATTTTTCAATTCGAACAGGTATATATTAGCGCGTTCAAACAAACAAACTCTCCAGCTTTAGTATAGATAAAGTAAGTTTGACGGTTGGTATGACGTAGGTTCGATTCCCAACATTTTCATATTATTTGTTATTATTTCGAAACAGATAGGACTTCGTCGGAAAACCTGGATATGAAATGGATGGTATCGGAATTCCGTCCCCGTCACGAACCACCGTCCGAAAAAAAAAACCGTCAAGTTTAATCATATTTCGGTTTTAGACTTTTGATTTCCGAATATCCAAAACCAAAATAGGTCTTATGGCTCTGGTATCTTGCCATTCGCCTTCCCTTAAGTGTCCTCTTCTGTCATTAAAAGTAATAATAATACATCGTAGACTTAATCACTTTGAGTACAAACAAATAAGCTCTCGATAAACACTGTATAATAAACATAATAAAAAAACAAAGCGTAAACGGTTCAATTAAGATGTCATTGTTGTTATGTAAACATTGGAAAGTAACACAAAAGCCAATGTGTAAATACTTAACTTTGAAGGATTATCTTATTTGTGTATTGTGATTCATTACTTTGAAGGTCTCTATTCTGAACGTAAACAGTTGCTGTTAGTTTTTTTTTATTCATTATTTACGTAGGTTGTAACCTATTTTAGATTATAACAAATATTAAAATAACAGATAAGTATAATTTAACTTTAAATTTTTTATATAGTGATCAGGATAATATATAAATGCAAAAATGTTCTAGAATTGTTGCAATTTTGAAATCATTTTTAAGATTTTATAATGGGATACTTAAGTTACCTTATTTAAATTACAACCAGTCTTTTCGATGCGTAACATTTGAGACATATTCCATTACACACTTATTACACATCTTATCACACTTTACACATATCACATTTTAATTAGTCAACTTACGTATAAGTTAACTAATGTGCTAATAATATCTAACACGTATCAAACCGTAAAATTTGTTTTATTTAAATATGTGCTTAAATACGCGCGTACTGCAGGCTTTATTGTATTGACTTAGAACAGAGATAGAAGGTGTGACCTGAGGCCCCATGTTACTGTCTTGGTCAAAATAATGTGTCCTGTAGCCAAACTACGAAAGGTACATTTAACACAGTTCTTAAAAAATAAAATAAGGTCCTTTTAAAATATACATTATATATAAAAGTACAAATTTTAATAAAACACTTTTATCGGTTTAAAACGAAAAATATTTTAGTCACTTATTTATTTATTTTTATATTAGTCGCGTTTTAAACCGTTTTTTTTTGTAAGGATTTTTTGGATTTATTATTTTATTTCGAAAATGGTTAAGGATTGACAACCCTAATCTACTATTCAACTCACGTTTATTCAATATAAGCAAACTCGAGCGTAGGCCGCAGTGGTACCTACTTTGCCGAAATTTTGCATTCGTCAACTGTCGCGGCATTTCTATGGTTTGCTTGAGTTCTCATGCATTAAGCCTACATAGAGAGTGTTAAATATTAAACCAAGAAAACGTGAATATTATTAAAAGTGCTTGTGAAACCTTCCCCGGTGGTGTATGGGGTGAACACATTTTTATATCCGTTTCTAGAATTAGTCCTTTTTACAGACAATTTGATCAGACTTGAGCATTTGTCCCTGCCCAAATCTGTTCTCGGGATTCGAACCCAGGACCATCACGCTTAAAGCATCACGCTTAACCATTTAGCTGCAGAAGCAGTCGGATATTGGCAACTTCAAATTCTTTTATATCAGTTTTTGTTACTAGGGCACGACGTCTATGTAACAAAATAAAATAATACTAACGTTTGAAGAAGAATTATTTTTTCATATTAATTCTAATATATTAATATATTCAGTTAGGTACTAATATTTTTTTTATATAGCGGCCTTATTATATTCGTATATAGGTACAGCATGTAACAATTATAAGACATTTTACAATGTTAAGCTACTATTACTAATATCTATATCAAAATAAGTCGACAGCGCACTTTGTTTAGGCTCGCATATAAGGCTGGGGGTTTCCTCCTACTATCAAGTGAGCATCCGTCCTCCACTATCATAAAAAATTCAAGCAATTTAAAATTAATTTAGAGGGATTTATTTATGAAAAGTAGGTATGTGCTGCCATCTGGTTAGAAGTATTCCGACTATATATTTTTTAAGACAAAAATTCACTGAAAAATTAAGCACAATTGATAGTATATAAGTAAATACCAGACATTTTATTTTATCGCTCTAGATTAGGGTTCATGCAATTATTGTTTTTATAAAAGGAATTTATGATTCACAATATCTGGTGGCCATTTTATAGTGTACGTTATTTACCTACGTTTTCTTCTACCGTAACCGTAGTTAAAGCTTCAGCGTAGTCTCCCCTACACGCTACTAGATGGCGCTGAATAAAACATTTTTAATGACGTATTTACCATTATAAAATAATACCAACCATTTTAAAAAGATATGTTTTAAAGAAATATTCTCAACGTAATATGCAATATTAAAAATATTTTTTGTTCCTCCTAGTGTACCTACGAGTATCGCCTATTAGATATTATTATTAATTAGCTAAGTAAAATTTAAAACTGCATTATGCGAAATAGATAAGGTATATGAGACATAAATATATCAGCTTCCAATCAGTAGAACAGATTCTTTTAAAGAAGGAAATAGAGATTTATTTATTCAATTAAAATGTATAGGTGCATCTAATATTTATTTATGATTATTAGGTAGAAGACCTTTAAGAAATTACTTTAACCCCATTCCATCCTTACCTTTTAAGGTTGGTACAATAACAATATAATTAGAATATGTGTTCAATTAAAGCTAAATCGATCTTCATTACAAGTAATAAGATTTTATATTTCTTAAAAAAAACTTAAAGTGGAGAAAATAAGGTGTAACCGAAATACTCAAATAGATATTGAAATTGAAAACAGTACTTTCTGTAATATTTTATTGATAAACTGTACCTTCGCATATTAATAGATCTAAAGGTGTGTTTTATTTCTAAAGTAGTATTCGTATTTTACTTAATTACCTGATTTCTTAGAGTTTCTTATTTTGATTCACGATTCGCTAATGAGTAAGTGGGGTGGGTATATAATGTGGTCCTTTAATGAACTTCAATTATACTCATTTTGTTTTTTGCAACAAACACAACTGAATAATGTCTGTGTCGTCTTCATTGAATGGTCAGACTGATCAAATTGTGTTTGTCAGCGATGGCAGCGATCAGCACTGGAGCCCTGAAACAAACACACAGAATACGCAATCGGTAAGATTATGAGTTATATACCTTTAAAATTTATCATGAACCCATCAATCCACTCTGGAGCAGTGTGATGGATCTACATTCTAAAATCCTCATACTTTGTGAGAATACCTGTGCCTAGTAGTGGGTTATTAATGGGTTAGACAACAAAAAGATGTAATCTCGGTTTACGAGTCTTTTAACTAGATAACAGTTACATAAAGTTAAATAGTAAACCATAATTTAAAAAAAAACTTTTTTTCGCATTCAAATATTTATTCTCGCTTTTTTACTTTACAGTAATTAGAAAATGTCTAATTAAAATTTTGTAAAACTTTCAGACGCAGCAGTGGCCCGGGTTTAACTACAACGCGAACACTTTAAACACTCCAGGACCTGTTTACAATACCCAAACTGCAACTACAACTCAAAACCCCAATTACTTCGTGCAGAACAACAATCCACAAAGTTATATAGACTTAACATATCAGAGAAGGGACTGCCTCATCGGCAACGGATACTGTGCACCAAACGGAAATGGAATTACTGCTACGAGTATTGGTTATAATAATACTCCGCAGAGGATATATTCTAATAATAATTACCCGCAACCCAAACGTGCCAATTGGAACCAAAAGACTAACGGTGTTAAGAAGGCCAAACGAGTCCGCACAGCGTTCACAACGCCGCAAATGATGGAGCTAGAACTGGAATACGCAAGAACTAGATATCTAGATCGTAACAGACGCATCGAACTATCTGAAACATTGAACCTAAGTGAGAAAACTATAAAGGTCTGGTTTCAGAACAGACGAATGAAGGACAAAAAAGACAGAGCTGAAGGTCTCGAAGATTCAGAAGCAACTAGTACCACTGAGTCATCGCCTGAAATGAATGTACCGTATATGCCTCCTTGTAACTATCACACTGTACAAAATGGTTTGTACGTCCAGAGAAATAATTTGTATATGGGGCCCCACTCGGCCCCAATGCCTGTATTGGATGCAAGTGCTTTGCCCGTGCCTGTTCATAATACTGTTGCCAATTCATATCCCAATTATTTTGTGTCTAATGTCAATGTACCGGAAGCACCAAATCAAATGAGTTCAGGTCCATCACAGTTCCTAAATGATTTAAGGCAAGAAGACGATACTGTGACGTCAGAATTGTTAAAAGAACCAAAAGAAATCACTGACATAACACCAGTACTTTGTAAAGGGTTAGACAGTGTGGAGGGGATGAAATCCGTGTTTTTCCAACATCAAAAAGATGATGAAGCAAAATTTGTATTGGATGATCAAAAAATGGAGCCTATAGCCATTGACAGTGAGTCGTGCAAGGAAGAATCTTCGCCCCAATCTAATGCAGAGAGTGATATACAAAAGGCCAATATAAACGAAGATAACTGGGAACTCTCTTGGGTCCAAATTATGGATTTAGAAGAAGTTTAAGGCACATATCGAAATTGAGATATATATTTTAAAGTATACTTACTTATTATGTTAATTAAGTTAATATATAGATGGAGAATTAAATTGTATATAATAAAAGGAATGTAAAATAGTTTTAAAATAAAGCGACGTTTGCTTACAAAGTTCTTCATTTTTTTTGTAACATTATAACAATATTATCCGAGAGAAAGTTAAACCGAGTACCATTTACATTTAAGGGCACAGGAAAACAAAATTCTACAAAAAATTTTTTAAAGATATCTAAAGGCACAGCTTTTATTTTACTTCGCAGAAAGTTGGTTTCTTGTTATACCTATCATTATTCGCAAGTTAATAATCACAATTATTATTATTAAACCATCTGGTTAAAGCTACGCATTATCTTATTAAATTATTCTTATATATTCTTAAAAAAAGAATTAAATACTGCCTATAGTTTATGCGAGTAATAAACATTTAAATAAAACACTTTAACGGTTTAAAACGCGATATATTACTTAAACTTATTTGAAAATAAAACTTCGGCCCGACGTTTCGGATGCTTTACAGCAGCCGTAGTCATTTTCAAATCAAACACGGGGTTATTTTCAAATAAGTTGAACTGATATTTCGCGGTTTAAACCGTTAAAGTGTTTTATTTAAATAAAACAGTAATTTTAATATTCACATACTTCAATGTTATAGTTAATTACTGGTTGTTCTCACTACTATGTATCGTATTTCATAGGTCACTATCATCTTTCCTCCACCCGATTGTAACACTTGTTTTCTCGGAAATCAAACCTACTTGTTATTTTGAAGGTTTTTTACGTTACTCTTATTTCTGGATCTAATAATAAACTGATTGGTAATCATTTGTATTATTAATAAGCACCTAATAATCGTCTGTAGTTTACGCGAGTAATAGGCACCCTTATATCGGTTTAATAAAACCAAAATATTTTTAAACTTCGCATGGAACTGAAATGTATAAAAAACAAAACATACTCAGTTACTAAATTAAGTAGTTTATTTCACATTTACACCGTTAAAATGGTTTTATATAATCTTATTCTTTATTCAATAAATATAAAACTAAACATTTTAAGAATTTTATTGTTAAATACAGTTATAGTTAAGTTGGCTTAATTCTTTTGACATACAATTTATAGTATAATTTAATTAAGAGTGATAGACAAAAAATATAATAATAATACTACCATGTAGTAGTAATACTGTCATGCACGTAAATAAATATACTTTTTTGAAAATAATAGCTAAGTTTAGGCAATAGTCGGTATTTTAGACTTATTCTGGTAATATTAGATACAGATATAGATTAAAGAAATTCAATAAAAATATTTCACTCAATTTACCTATTACAACTTTTTCTTCGACTCTTTATATTTGGTTTCTTCAATCGGTTTTATTTGTTATACTTTTTATCGCAGTAGTTCAAGTTATCTAGTCATGTCATAAAGTTTGAACGCAAAGTCGCTGGTAAAAAAAGCTGCACTTTTATTTTTTCGTCGCATCGTCAATTGCGCGTGAGTAAACGATTAAACCATGTTTTTCAACCGACAAGTTACAAAATTACAGATCTCGGAAAACCACTATAATTTAAAAATCGAAAATAAATTGAAAAAATTTTCAACTACGGCAGGACTCGAACATTTTTAAATTATATAGTGCTTTCAATTAATAAAGTTTTCAAACCACTATAAATTGTTTTATACCTGCATTGTGTATCCTTGCTTGTAAATAAAATGAACACAAAATTGTATTCAATCCGTGCCTCACGCTACACAAGAGGGACTACTATAGCTCCTTTTGTGTCGCTGTAATCAATTCGGTTACAGTTAAAGTGAACTAATTAAAGATGGCAAATATATCTAAAAGCCAGTCAAATAAAGTGTGCATCCTAGACGAGAAGTATTTCGCTTGTAATTACAACAATAATTATATTTGATATCTATTAGTAATTTGTAAATTAATTAGTGTAGCAATAATGAGATGATCAAATAATTAATTTACGAGCAATTAAATAATGTTTTCGAAACGCTTCGTCTTTATAAAGCGTAATATATTTTTATATTCTCAGTATTGTTATGAATTGGTAGATGTGTGTATGGAATGCGAAGTGCAATACGATTTGAATTGAGTTGCAATCAGATGAGTGATATTACGAAGACGTATAACATGGATATGCAGAGACTGGTAAGTTATAATTCAATATGTATAACTTTATAAGATAGTATGACAGTTGCTGTAGTTAAACCAGCAAAATATTTTGTGTTGAGTGGTGTGTCTAGAAATTACCTGTAAAGTAAATAAACAATTAGAGAAAAAAACTAAAATTATTTCGTATACGTCTTTACGCGTTGGATAATTAAATTATTTTATTTAACAGACATATTAAACATTTCAGGTATCATCTACTCAAAGTTACATCCATAGAAATTCCAAAAAGTCTAGAAGATTCAGAAGCTCATTTAGAACAGATCAAATCAACTATTTAGAAAATGAGTTCAAGAAGTTTCCATATATTGGAAATGATAATCGACAAGAACTGGCGCGTGTCTTGAACCTTCCAGAAAGGGCTATAAAGATCTGGTTTCAAAACAGAAGAATGAAGGAGAAAAAGGAATCGTATAGAGAAATCGACGATAGAAGTCACATTGATTCTATGAATCAAATAAACAATCAATTTAATGGTGCGCCTATTTTGCAATCAACTAATGATCAATTACATAAAGCACCATTACAAATTGCAAATAACGAGGCGAAACATATTGGAATCCCGATATGCCGATATGATGCGAAAGATCCGAAAGAACAGGAAATATCAACAACTACTGAAACGATTCCAAAGACAATACCGGTTTCAGAAACAGTACAGATAGAAGCGTTTCCATTGCGCAAGGACGACGTTAATAGACAAAAGCAGCCTGAGAAGAGTGTTACAAGAAATGTAAAACCCAAGGCTTTGAATGCACCATCGGAGAAAAGAGGTAGAAAACCAAGTATAAACCCAACGCAAGAATTACCAGAAGATTTGTCAAAGCCGTGTAAAATAGAACATCAAGAAGCAAAAGTTGATACAGATTCTAATAGAAATGGATGCATACCTATCTACATTCCAAACTGCTATACGTCACCTTTTGGTCCTACAAATGTCATATGGAATCCCACAAATATGGGACACCTAATCCCTGGTAGGGCCTCAGTTCCTACGTCCTTGCCTACATCTTATAGTCCTAATGCATTTACAGTAATCGGTCAGAATTTACGTAAAAACAATTGTAACTGCGATTGTCATCTTCAGTTTGTGCCCCAAGTGGTCCCTGATAACCCAGCACAGTACTTTCCTCTCTTTACAATACCCTATTCAGCACCACAACTATAGGAAACAAAAAACATCATTGTTTAAATAATTTATTTATTAAGGAAAATACAACATTATATTTTATTGAATGTTAAATTATAATAAATAATATAATACATGTTTAACGTGTCATTAAAATGTGTGATATTTAAATTAGTTTTACTTACCAACTCATAAAATTTTCACATTATTATAAAAAGAAACGGAAATATAGGAAAGTTTAGTTACAACAGAAAATATATGATTTAAATTAAAAATCGAGTCTTCGAAGATGTAAAAGTATAGAATGTCTTAATGAACTATAGAATATACCTAGATTATAAATAACCTTATGACTAACTTAAATAAAATTTCCTATAAATATACTCATTCATAGATATACTCATACCCTCGGTACTACACTAACAATTGTAGATATATTAAAGTATTTTAGCATGGGATTATAATTGAAATTCGTTGATATTAAAATACGTGTTGTAGCCCCATTCGTTTCCATTTTCACAATTATTATAATAGTCAGTGTATTGACTTGATGGGTAACTTTCCGCGGAGTTCACTGGATAATACTGGGTGGGATAGATGTTCGAATCGTTCTGGAAAGAGCAGCCAGGTGCGGAAGTGTTATTTGCGTAAAACTGTTCCCCGGTATACGAGTAGTTATTTTGAAATTCGAATGGCAGAGTGTAACCTGAGTAATTATACTGAGTATGCATTTGAGATTCTTCTCTTTGACACACAGCTTGAGTTGTGTCTGGAGACGGCGTGACCGGTTCATGCCCTGAACTCTCGCTGGAGGAATCGCTGCTCGATTCAGACGACTCCTTCTTCTCCTTCATTCTTCTGTTTTGGAACCACACCTTAATACATTTATCGCCGACCTTCAGTTGCTTTGCGAGCTCCTTACGACGTTCTGCGTCCACGTACTTCGTTTTCGTGTACATGTCTTCAAGTAGACGGATCTGTTCGGTGGTGTAGGCTGTACGATTACGTTTGTTCTTCTTCTTGATGATCTTCGTCACTAATGTATCTGAAAGTCACAATTTCCAGGTGTGAGATACGATAGATAGTAATATCTTTATTCCAGTAACACCGAACAAAGTAATAATAAGAAGACTACAGAGTATCTATATAATCAATTGTTTAATAAATATACTCCCTATTCAGAATATTATAAGATAGAAGAGAAACAATCAAAAACAATATATATATATATATCACTAGTCAAATGAGTAAACGACATTTTTCTATCCGTAGGTAGCATTAATTTATTGACTAATTGATTAACTTTTAAATTTATTTAAAAACAACATTTTAGGTACCGTTTAAAAATAAATTTAAAAAAATATACTGTTTTTAAAATACTCCAAACTTTACATAAGCTCTAATTCATTATAGTTTTAGTATTTCTATTACTTTACTAGCAATATTTAGTAGAACTTTATGACTATTTTACGCGCAACATTGAATATTGTTTTTACCTTTTTTGAGCGTCGGTTGTTGTCGTGGTTCGGGCCATTTTATTGAAAATGGTCGGTTGTGCCAACAAGTTAGCTGAAATTAACAAAAGGATTCCACTGAAATTATAAATGTTATTTGCCTACTTTAGATATGTAAGTGCAAGAAATATGCCTTGTATAATGATGTAACTGTGTACTTATAAAAACGAATCAAGATTTTAAGCTAGGAATATAAAATCAAGTTGTGATTCAAGTAAATAGATTATTAAAACGATTTCATTATTCACGTACCTCATTAGTGTCGCCTAAAGTCGTCAACGAAGTCATCAACACGTTATTAAACATTATAATTACTTTAAAATAAATAAAATAGATGTTATTAACAAGTGACGTCGCAGAACCCGAGCAAAACTGACAATGTAGGTATATAAATATTTTATTTGAGAAAGATTTAAAAATACCCTCATCTAAAATTATTAATTGTGTATCGCCCTTGGTAAAAGTAAGTTGAAGATGTTGCGTCATACCTACATATCTTTTAAGTGTTAGTAAGTCATTCTTTACGCAAATCAGTTGCTTCGAGATTCAACAAGAAGAAGAAGGACGGTGAAAAGAAAAAGAAGCTACTGGGTAAGTACAGACTTATAAGGTCAATCATTATAAGTAAGTACACTACATCGATATTTTAAAGCTTTGACCTTACGTTAAGTTTTTTAGGCAGTTACCTACTTACCAAAAGTAAGTGTTATATGTACGCTACTTAATACAAGGGTCGAAAAAAATATTTATCAGTATCCATGGTTGAATTATAAACAATTATGAAAAAAATATATTATTGTCTAATAGCAATTTATTTGTTTTTAAAACCATCTTAGTAGGATTAAAATAATAAAAAACAAACTCATTAGCCACAGGTAGGTTGAGTAATTAAGGGTGCGTATGGGCAGTCAATGAAGTTGTTTACATCTTAAGGGTGTTGTTAATGACCTAAAGTTTTGGCTAAGTATATAAGTTTAATTTTTCATTTACTCAATTAGTACATACTAATCTTTTGACGTGAACGGGTTGATTTGAAACATGTGCGATTCGTATTTAAATATTGCAAAAATTGGTGCAAATGAAAAAATGGAATCGGTACGTTTTAAATTTATGACTATTTATTAATAATTTATGAGTAATCTGACTATAGTTATCATAGGTATTTTAATTCAGTTTTGTTTAACTAGAACACTTTATAATGCGAAATGTATTATTTAAACTGATTTGCACCATTTTATCTCTACCTGCAGCTTTGCAATCGTGGTCATAGAGGATTACTCACTTAGTTTTGTTTCAATTCTTAGTATTAATAATCATATTTGTCTTATTTCAGAAGCCATCGTCTAACCCTCGTAGCAGTTCCAGGTGCGATCTTCAAAGTTTCTACGAAAACTTTGATCCTGATAGCACTGAGGTATTTTTTATATATTATATATATTTTAAGTTTTTGTAGTTCCTTTCTACTGGCTTCTTAGAACCAATGCATATCTTAGTTTTTTATTTAAATGAGTTTTCAAATCTAATTTCATCAATTTCAGGACTGTATGTTTGCAATGTCCTGCGTCCAGACGGAAGGCATTCATCACTGGAATGAAAGATGTTCTGCCAAAACCCAGTATAACATTTCAGACAGAAATAGTCAGGTATGTACGAACTTTAAAAGTATTGCATTTGATACACGAAAAACTTAATAATAAAATTAAGTTTTCGTGTGAGTCATATAATTCGAATAGTTAGAAATCCTTCATCTAAACTATTAATAAATTCATTTTATAACTTGATTTTTTTTTCAGATAACTCCAGAACCAGAACCAGTCGATAATTATTGCAACCAATACGGAAATGGAGCATTTTCTAAAACAATTCAAGGCAATAAAGGTACATTTAATAATGTCTAAGTACTAATTAATACGTAAATATTAACTTTTTTATCTTCTTTTTAGTTGGCAAGGTTTAATTTAAAACCTAGACCTAAATTTAATTCAAAATTACTTCTTAATTAAATTTTGAATAACTGAACCTGAAACGGCACCAACGTATAAGAAGGAATATTTTTTTTTCTACAATCTTACATTTCAATCTACAATCTTAATATTTCCTTTTTTGTATTTGAACATATATATTTAGATGAAAATCGAATCTATGTGTACGATAGGCTGCCTTATTGCAATCAATCAATGTCCTCTATGTAATTATTAAAATAAAATGCTAACATATATAATATAATTTTCAGACACAAAATGCAACCAAATCAAGCGTATGATCTTGAAGAAGAAACGCAAACGCACAATGTTCACAACAGAACAAATCGTAGCTATGGAGCAGATCTTCAAAGTAAGACCTTATATTTGCAGAGATGACAGAATAAACTTAATGCAGAAGATACGGGTGGGTGAGAATGCAATCAAAGTCTGGTTCCAGAACAGACGTCGCATGTCCGAGAAGAGGGACAAAACTGATCTACCAGATTCACCGTCCTCTCTGGAAACATGCAATTCAGATAGATTGATGTACATTGAAGGTTTGATAAGCGAAAGGGTCGACGAACTTGGTAATGTAACGCTCGATGAACAACTCATCGCTGAATTAGTTAATGTCATTGATGAATATTTACCTGACATTGATACTATAGAATTGTTCAAAGATGTGTCGTGTGATTTAGATAATACACAGACATCTTATGATGAAACTTCATTAATGCCACAAACTAGTGACCAAAATAATATCATTATGTATGAACCGATTTCGCCTATAAGTGTTATTGATGAGTTTCTACAATAGTAGCATTGTTATCGCTAATAAGTATAATAGCATAGTACATAATATATATTAGTTTTAGTTAGCTGTTAGAGAATATAAACCCAGTTATTTATTTTAAGAATAAAAAACCCATGACTAAAATCAATTCTTTTATTATAATGAACCTTTGGTGTTGTATTAGTTATATTGTTCACAAAGTCAACTAAACAAATGCTATCAATAATTGTTTACAGTAATTTAAGTAGTTTCTAATATAAGCAGTAATAATCGAAAATACTAATTTTATGTACAACAATAACATATCCTTATTTAATCTTAAAAATTGCTTATTTGATTATATTTAAGTAACAATGAACATATTTATTATACATTTTATTTTAATTTTGGCATTTTATAAAAATAAATCTCTATTACTTTTAAGAATAAACCTGGAAAGATTTATAGCGATATGTATGAAGATGAAAACTTATTAGTACCAGAAGTCGTAGTTTGACTAGTTGTATCTGTGGTTGGTAGATAAGCGAAGAATGCATCCTGGGGCAAAGAAATACCTGATTGTCTATTTTGAGTATCGTCATATGCATGCGGCAACGAAGGAAGACTCGATGTATATGCATAAACGTCAGAAGTGGGAGGCGGCATCATGACACTTGTAGATAAAGAATTATAGTACGATGTCGCACTTGTAGGATAGCGCGACACGTCGTCGCCCAACTTTGTGCTTATCCCGTTAGGTACATAACTGTCTGATGGCATTATAGTGCTAGAATTCGGTTGCAATGATTCATCGCCATTGTAGCGATACACTTCAGCTATCGATGAGTAAGACGCCCTGCCTACAGTGTTTCCCGCGTAATACGTCGAATAAGTTAAGTTCGGTGTGTAGGATGGCAAGTCGATTGCATTTTGAGAGTTTTTAATCACAGATTTCAAGTTCAGCTGTTGGTATTCAGGAGGTCTTGCAACTGTCTCATTGGTAAGATAAATCTTATGGTGGCTTCCGTGACCTTCAGTCAATAATCGCCTATGTCTGTCATGTCCTCCACAACTTCTTCCGTGACTCAGTTTGTGATCTTGATGGCTCGGTGACATTTCCTTAGAACTCGTGGACGGGTTGCTGTCGTCCACGGATGACGATGGCTTGTTATGTTTATTGTCTTTCTTGTATTTCATGCGTCTGTTTTGAAACCATATCTTGATTTGTCTCTCGGATAGTTGTAAGAAGTTTGCCAGTTCAATACGACGAGGGCGGCACAAGTAGCGATTCTGATGGAATTCATTTTCAAGCTCGACCAACTGCGAACTTGTGTACGCAGTCCTTGCTCTTTTTGTGAATCCTTTCTGATAGGAATCACTAGACATATTATCTGAAATTGAAATGTTGATTATCAGATAAATATGAATTAAACAATAATTTTAACATGATAAAAGCAGTAAGCAAAAAGAAACATTATTTAAATATTTACCGTTAGTTAGGGAAGACGTTACACCAATAGAAGAGCTGTTAAGCAGAGCTTTATCACACCATGTGTCACTCTATAAGAAAAGAAAGATAAAGCACGGTTAGGTCGCTATTAAAGCGTCTTGAAAAGACTGTGTTTTAGTATACAATGAAATAAAATAAATGTTCTAATTCTTAATTGACATAATTTAGAAAATATTAAATTGTCATTAAGATCCGGTTGCTTTGCGGTAAATCACACTAATATATGTGACGTGCATTACGATTGTGCAGTAAACTCATTATTAAGATAGTGATTTCTATATCTATGTTCTTAAGATTCATATTTGTTTGTATAATTACCTGTCTTGGGAAATTGGACTCGTTTACTTCATTAGTTTTGTCTTCAGGATCTTTTACAACATCGCTGCTTAAATTGATTCGGTGCTGGCATCGTAGATCGTTGGAATAATTATTGTTAAAGGCCTGTTCCTCCATTTCAATATGAGTTACATACACGTCATTCTTATGCATATAATCATCGGAGATTACATCTTCTGTATCCGCGTAGTTATTTGAGCTGTTACTAATATTATCGTACTGCGGTATTTGGTATTCGTATCTTTGCATATCCTCTTGAGCGCTCCCTGTGTTATATGACTGTTGGAGACCAAGTATATCCTGAATAGTAAAAGCACTGGAGTCACGAGAATTGTGGTCCTGGACTAAATGTGGAATGGAGATGACCTCAGGTTTACACATTTGAAAAGCATTATCGTTCACGCTGTACGAGGTGTCACTTAGTATATCTTCAACTCCATGTGATGTAATCTTGTAGAAACTGTTCTGAGTCATGTACTCAACAGGTTTGTATTCGGCACGGTCTTTGGGTGTGATTTCTGATGAGAATCCCGATGTTGCGGAATCGTTTGAATCCTCCGACTGGGTACTTCCGGGTGGTGAGGGAGTTGTAGACATTGTAAGAGTGTAGGGAATATTCGAAGAACGGGTCACACGCAATCACTCAACACTAATGCGACCGTGCGGTCAAAGATTTGTTTACTAAATGCTTTTTTTCTTCACCTGAATGTCGTTAATTTGGTAATGACTTTGTTCGTCTGTGTGCCACATTTTGACGTAGTCGAGGTCTTTGTGTGTCAACGATAAGACGGACATGCCGAGTCCGATAGTAAAGGGACACTAGATAATTGTTTTAAATGCATTATGGTAGCTAAAATACCCATTCGAGATAACTAAAATAAACAATTATTTTACTTCAATGTTTCTCTGACATTCCATTAAACTGGATTGAAATATATTCGTAGATAATAAGTAGTTTTTAATACTTTCATTGAAATTTCTTACTTAGTCAAAATGTATAATGCAACAACAACAAATTTAAATATCCCCTCGACATTACCATGTCATGTCATCGTTTTTAAGTAAATGATAAGTTCTTGTCGAACTGTATGTATGTCACCTGTCTATCTATACATATACCTGCAGAGATACTAATGTCGTTAAGATAAAAAATACGTATAACCGTATGTAACCACAAAACTGATAAGTACGGAGAAGAGATTACAAAGGTCCATCTCATACTCTAATTTATAATACTTATATTGTAAAATAAGATTCTCAATCATATCACAGAAATTAAAAATCTTTTTATGAATTTGTATAAGGTAATAATAATATATAAACAATTAAGTCATATTCTCATAATATGTGCAAGAAAACATATCTCGTTTTGCCGTAAACTTCTTTCGTCTAGGGTGCAAGAAATTGTTTTTTTTTTTTTATATTTTTCATAAATTTAATTCATAAAATTCTCAATAAGAACAAATAAATTGTAGTAAAGGCATATTTGAAATTTAGTGCGCGAATATTTGATCCTTTTTTAGATTAGTAATAAAACAATCGCAAATCAAAATTACGTTCGACCTTTTTGTTTATTTGTGGCCATTTTTTGCTATTGTAATTCTCTTTTATATTAAAGTTAGTCAGCTGCTCAATTACTTCTTTGTTGGGTTTTGATAAATGACTCTGGATCCGTGCGGGTCAGAAACTGGCGCGGATTATTTTTATCATCGCCTAGACTGAATTTCTGCTTGCATTGTGAGTCAATAGGATTTATTCTATAAAAGTGATTTACTTTTAAGCTTTATAATAGTGTTTGAATAAATGTTTAAGTCGGTTTCTTTGATTACAAACTTTATTTCATTTTTTTGATTCTTTCATTTTAGAATGTAAGTCGAAAGTTTATAATGGTCTACTAAAGGTAAATTGTGAAGACTTCTTGAAATACTGTCTATAGTTTACGCGAGTAGTACACATTTAAATAAAACATTTTAACGGTTTAAAACGCGATACATTAGTTAAACTTATCCCCCCCCCCCGTCTCGTGGTCTCCCCGTGACCACGGCTGCTGCAAAGCATCCGAAACGTCGGGCCGAAGTTAAAAAACATTTTCAAATAAGTTTAACTAATATATCGCGTTTTAAACCGTTAAAGTGTTTTATTTAAATGAAGATACATCCATCAAAATGCGCTTTGTTAAAAATTGAGCGGGTTACTTAGCCATTGTCTAAACATTTTTAAGACAAGTAAATAATAATTGTACCTATGGACTTAGTAGAGTTCTATAGATTCAAGCCGATTTTTTATTATATTCTCTGCGCATTCATGACAGAGAACTGCAACCGTTACAACATAAATTTAACAGTTCTTTGACAAAAGTGGACGATTGCTTAAAACCCCAGGTCCACAATGTCAGGCCGATGATATATTACGATTTGCTCAAAGGGGACCCTTTTTTGTTCTCACAGTAATGGTTTTAGTTTAATCGACGCCGGCGAGATAGATATATGGTAGACCGATAGTGCGAGTGAGATAGTAGACACGAGTGCATCTGTTCCCGCCAAAGAGGAATGATTCAAACGTTGAGATGATGGTCTGGTGTCAACAGTGCGTCGTTGGTAGTGAAACAAAGTTCAGTGCATCGAGGAAAAATACTCTAAAATTAAAAAAAAGGGATAATTAAACGATATCTGTGGTAATTGTGTTATTGTGTTATGTGTGGAGAAAAAGTGAGTACCTACTTTTAATCCGTTGCTTAATACAATATTCTTACTATTTATTGTTCGTACCTATGTTTTAATTTAATCGGTATTTAAAATTCAATTTTATTAACATGACATCTTGCTATATTGCGTCGAGACTTATAACGGAACGGTTGGTTTCCTAACGAAAACCTGTGTAGGCTTTCACGCGTCAGTATCAAAGATGGCGTCACTATATCCCATTTATATTAGAATTCAATATTATGAAACATAATTTCCTATTTTTTCCTATAAATTCAGTTTCATTAAAGTTTAAATATTTCACGCGAAAAGGCATTTTCTGCTAGATATAATTGTTTCATACTTTAGTAATTATGTCTATTAGCCATCCTTACCACGCCATCTGTGTTATCTTTTGGACATTAAATAGACAACAATTGCACATCGTAAGTAGAATCGTAGGCATCATGTATACTTTAATAAGTTACTTTTTGTGATTAAAATACTAATAACTTTATTAAGTGAATGGAACCTCCAAAAATAAAACGTTATAATATTAAAGAATAATAAATTATTTAGATTTTAAGTTTCGCACTTCCTCTTCCCTAATTAATTTTTTACATTATTTTCAAGAAGGGTCGCCAGATCGTTAATACGATAAGGCCGCCCGTTACACCCATCTTTATAATATTATTATTATTTTTATTTATGTAATTGTGTGCTGTGTTGTGTAAAAAGTAAAAAAAAAAAAAAAAAAAAAAAAAAATTAAATGTTTAACCAAACTCCTTTGAACGCGCCTACATTACTTTATGATACACCCTTTTTTACCCAATTACGGTTTCTGTAAGTTTCGACAAATCTTTAGCTAATTTCGAATTAGGCCTAAGAGGAAGGCTTTGCCTACGCTGGTTTTTATCTCAAAGCCAGAGCTTCCCTTACACGCTACTAACAAGTTAGGTTAGGAGTTAGGATAATTTTCTGCTGCTACCGCTGTCTGAGTTAGTCTATTTAGTTAAAATAGGTAGATTTGTTGTAATAGTGTCATCTTACCTTATTTTTTATAACTAAGTTGTTACTTGGTTTATAATTTAACATCATAATTATAAGTATTATAGACAACATATATCCTTTTTCTAGGTTATAATTATGTTTTTAGCAACAAAATATTGTTCAAATGTAAGTCGATGTGTGATGTGTGAGCTGTTATAGATAGAACGAATTACAATCTTATAAATTGTATATATACCCTACACAATACAGAATTAAAGTTAAACTTTCACTACCATTACAATTACGAATATCCAAAGCCAAATAGGTCGACAACACATTTTGTTAAGATGTAATATGGCTCAGGTAATTCACCTACGATCAAGTTAACCCATGTGTGTCTGTCCTCTTCAATAATAAGAAATAAATTTTATCATTTCTTAAAAAATGGTGGCTAAGCGAACGAGGTGAAACTAAAAAACGTTCTCAAAAGAAAACATAAATCGCGCAATAAATCGCTGGCAGCGAAATTAATTTCGTTCTTGCAAATTTACAGAGGGTGTTAAGTTGTCCGTAGTTTCGTGCCAGATTCTAGTTTCCAGGCGAAGTTGGGAAACTGCGCCGGTCGGCTCGATCTCAAGTGCTACATTATTGCTGTAGTTATTACCTCGCTTACATGCACTGTACACTATGTAGTACAAATAAATAACAATTTTTACGGGCTTAAATCAGTTAAATAAATCATTTGTCATCTTTAGTTTTTTTCCACATGTTATGTACATGATGGCTTTATATAAAACGAAAATACTGGTCCGTGCTAACTAATTAAGCCACCTAGGTAGAATAACACGAATTTCAAGTCCCGCCCGTGTCGTCCAAATTTTTCAATCTAGGTACTTAGTTATATAATATTGTTCGAAATATATCTAGTTCGCCTTTTACCATACTTAATTTATTCTGAATTGAGTTGAGAGGTTCTTGCTTTGAATGCTGGGGAAAAATAAAATGTTTTGGTAGAATCGTGCACAAAATTCTGATCAACTATAAATAAAAAACAATCGATTAAACAGACACAAAAATGTTTCTGTCCCATCCAAGTGAAACGGATTTTAATTTTATATACTTATATTGTTTTATATTAAGTTACGAATACGCTCTCACATTCCTTCCATTATTATATATCATGTATGTATACATCAAATGATAGAAAAAAAAATATTTTAACACTAACAAATTCAATAACAAATCAACTTAAAACAATAACAACGCCCTCTTTATTTACCACACCAGAAAATATAGCTTCAATCTACTCTAATCATGCAAGCAACGTTCGTACGGGAGATGGCGAGAAGTTTTATTAAAACGTCTGCGTTCATAGCGGACAGATGTACGAAATGCTTACGTTGGCACCGCACTTGAACTCATGCCAAGTTGACAAGGAACGATGCTTCTCCCATTTGTTTTGAAAGCCTTTATTGTTGACCTAATAAACGAGTAGAACAGGTGTTACATATGTTGTAACGATTTGGAACTAAGTAGTGTGGTTCTCGCGAGTACACATCAACATAAAGCACTTTTAACGGTTCATAACACGAAATAGATTAGTAATCTACAATGAAGCTCGTGAAGGTTTGCATCATCAATGCAGCAGTCCCATGACTGTAACTGCTGTATTCCTTAAAAATATTTTTGGCAAAAATATAAACTGATTTTTAGTCCGGTTTGGTTGTTGACAGTTGATTTTTATAAGACGTACTTTGTTGGCATTAGGTCAAACGAGCACGTCAAATTTAAGTCTTATAAATAAATATTACACTTATTTAAAACATGTTTTTCTATACGAAACATTTTTAATTTTGCTTATTTGAGTACTTTTAATTCTACATTAAAAATCGATTTTATAAAAGCAGGACAAATTTAATTTTTAT